TTTGCACCCCAACATCCCAGTGTCTGAAAGAAGATCCAAAACATACTTTCTTTGAGAAAGAACAACACCCCTGCCGCTACGGGCAACCTCAATCCCAAGAAAATATAGCATAAATCCAAGGTCCTTCACATCAAAGGCCTTCCTAAGGTCTATCTTGACCTGCACAGTCCCAGAAACATCATCACCAGTAATAATAATATCATCAACATATACCAGAAGAATGACACACTGTCCAGAAGTATTCCATCGAATAAAGTAGGTATGATCAGAATGACATCTGGTGAACCTCAATCGTACGACTGCATCACTAAAGTGAGAGAACCAGGCTCGTGGCGATTGTTTCAGTCCATAAAGAGACTTACGCAATCGACATACCTTTCCAGCATACTCCCCCTCACCACAAAAGCCCCGTGGTGCATCCATATAAATAATCTTGTCCAGATCACCGTGAAGAAACGCATTCTTCACATCTAATTGATGAAGAGGCCAAGAGTACTCCGCAGCCAAAGAAATAATCAACGAACAGTAGTCAATTTTACCACGGGGGCAAATGTAGCACCAAAATCACGACCTGGTACCTGAGTAAAGCCCTTCGCCACAAGTCTAGCCTTGTGACGATTAATAGTACCATCCGCAAGAAACTTCAGAGTGTAAACCCAGAGACAGCCAACAGGCTTCACCCCTGAAGGTAAGGAGATAAGATCTCATGTATGATTACGCTGAAGAGCGTTCATCTCTGTCTGCATGGCAAGAACCTATTGGGGCTCCCGCATAGCCTCCGAAATAGAACGAAGAACCAGCGTATCTGATAAGGCCATAGTATAAGCTCAAAATATAGGAGACAGATCACCATAAGAAACATAAGCAGAGATCGGATATAAAATCCTGGCGGTCCAACCATAACGATCAACTAGACAGCGATCACGCCGCGGATAACGACACCCTAAATCATACTCTTCCACTGATAATGTCTCATCAGGTAAATAAACTGGCTCAGCACTTGCAATCTCATCAGTACTAACAACAGGTGCATCAATATGCTCAACAAATTGAGAAGTATTACCTACATCGCCTGAGGTAGAGGGGACATCAGCTAGTGATGAGAGCGAGGGCAACGAACATACCCCTACAAAGGAAGAGAGACTGGTAACTCTGTACTGACAGAGATGAGTGGCTTTGAAGGAGGAGAAACAGATAACTCCTGTAAGGATAATGACCAATGACTCTGACTCCTGTGGTAATGGAAAAACAAAGGGAGTATCATCAACTGGAGGGGCAGACACAGGATTGGGAGAAAAATAAGGAATATGCTCAAGAAAAGTAACATCTAAATTGTGATACATACGGCACCTGATAGGATCATAACACCGATACCCCTTAGATTGATGACAATAGCCCACAAAGATACAACGAATCGCTTTATCATCAAGTTTATGACGAGTAGGAGACCGATCCTGAACAAAATATGTGCATCCAAAAATACGAGAGGGGACCGAAAAAAAGTGTCTGCTCAGGAAATAAGACCTGTAAGGGAGCCTTATGCTGAAGAATACGACTCGGCGTACGATTGCACAAAAAGGTAGAAGTCAAAACAACAAAATGTCAATAAGATTTTGGTACCCTCATGCCTCTAAGCATACAACGTATCATCCCTATCAAACTCTTATTTTTCCTTTCAGCAACACCATTTTGCTTAAGAGTATATGGACAAGTGAGTTGCTCAAGAATACCCTGAGAAGAAAGCTGAGACACTAAGGCATCAGAAACATATTCTTTGGCATTATCCGAACGAAGAACACGAACAATGATATCGAATTGTGTCTTAATCATCTGTAAAAATTGAGTAATTATAGGAAGTACATCAGACTTTCTATGCAAAAGATAGACCCAAGTACAACGGGTATGGTCATCTATAAATGTCACATAATATCGGACACCTGACAAAGTAGTAACGGGAGAGGATCCTCAAATATCAAAATATATTAGGTCAAATGGCTTATGTGACTGGTGCATACGAGGAATATAACTGGTCCTAACATGTTTCGATAGGGAATATAACACAGTCAAGTTTACCACCAACACAAGCATTGTTCAAAACAGGAAATAACATACATAAATATTTAAATTTGTATGTCCAAAATAGTCATGCCACAACTGAACAGTTTGTGACAAAAAATCATAACGACAACTACTAGGTAAAATATTAGCATGCAAGCTAGGAACAGAAAAAGACAAAGCAGGTGTAGGTGATGTAGGTGGAGGAATTTGTGAAACTAGAGATGGATTGTCAACGATAAAAAAGTCCATCTTTCTCATGTCCCCTGATAATAATCCTCCTGGTACTCAGGTCCTGTAAATAACACAAATCATATAAGAATACAACCGCACAGTGAAAATCTTTGGCTAACTAATGTACAGATAATAGATTCATGGCCAACTTTGGCGCATAAAAAATTGAACGTAATGTAAGGCCATCTAGGAGGCGGATTGTACCCCTACTAACAATAGGGGCATGTGTCCCATCTGCTAACTGAACCTGTGTATGTAACTGCTCGTCAAAAGTGGTGAAGTGATGGGTCTCACCTGTCATGTGACCATTCGCACCCGAGTCCAACATCTAAAGGGGAGATGAACTGGCACAAGCGTGAAAGGCACGAGGTATACCTGCAGTGGTGACAACAGCAGTAGTCAGACTCTGAGAAGTCAGAGCAGACATAAGTATATCTAATCGAGAAGTGATAGCATCCATATCACTCTGCCAAGGTGGAGCAGCAGCAGCAAGAGTAGCGGTAGTGGATGGTGGTACCTCAGCAATAGCAACAACATGGCTGCGAGGAGGCAGCTTAAGCTCTAGATGGAGCTTCCAGCAAGTAGCCCTGAGATGTCCTGATCGACCACAATAATCACAGTGACAGAAATTCCCTTGTCTGCGCTGATCTGAGGCACCCTGACGGCGCTGATCCGAGCACTACCCACCCCTGACTGAGGATCCTGAACAAGACCCTGCAACAACTGCAAGGGCCATCTGGTCAGCCGAAGGAGTCAAAGTCGCAACTGAAAATGAAGCAATACGGACTCGACGCTCATGCTGCTCAATCATCTCATACACCTCATAAAGAGAAGGAAGTGTCAACATCGACAAGATCTGAGAACGAGGTCCCTCAAACTCATGATGAAGTCCCATAAGGAACTTGTGAATCCTATTCTCTTACTCTCGAGTATGCAAGATTGCTGCTCCCTCGGACTCTATCTTTGGAATAGCAACAAGAGAACGTAGAGTCTCATACTCAAGCCAGCGCTGGGTCAAATAGTCATAATAATCCTGAACGGTCATATCTCCCTACTGAGCATATGAGAGCTCCTGAGAAAGCTCATAAACACGAACTCCTCCGTTCTGACTGAGAATACATCTCTGATAGTGCGCTCCATAGCTTTGAAACAGAGCTATGAAACTGGTGGATCCTACAAACAGATGGCTCCATCAAGCCAAATAACCATCCAGAATGGTGGTGCAATTCTTAGAGAACCACGCAGAATATCCAGGGTCGGCATCAGCTGGCTTTGGGTGAGATCTCATCAGCCAACCAAGCTTCCCTACACGGCCTAAGAAAAGCTGGAATGAGCGAGATCACTCAGCAAAGTCACGACCATTCAACAACTCTGCCGTAACTTTTTGAGAGATCATGCCCGGTTGTGCTGGTAATGCAACTCTGCTAGTAGGTACTGTATACTGGTCAAACATAAAAGTGGAAGTACCCATAGATATCTCAACAGTAAAGGTGTCAACAGTAGGGTTCTCAAGTCCCTCAATAGTAGTCATATCAACAACAATACTAGGGCACCCATGACAGAAAAATAACTCTAAGATAAATAGAGAAATAAAATAAGGGAGAACAATATACCTCCAGTCGAATAGTAGCGACAGATAAAGAAGGTCCAAAAAGGTCCCAAATAATCACGGTGCTCAGAAATCCAATAAATAAAAATAATCTACTACATCAAGAGCAAATCATCAAACGGAGAAAAAGAGGATTCAACCCCTCATAAAAAATCCTAGATACACTGTGATGAAGAGTGAAAAGGATGAACAGTGGGCTGGGTTTATTGATTTAATATGTCGGTGGGGTGTATGTTGTTTCGGCTATTGTTGTGAGTTGCTGGGTACGTTGTTTTCGGATGGCAGTGTATTGGGTATGGTGTGGGGTTTGATGAGAAAAGGTAAGGAGTTGATGTATGGTTGAGAAAGGTGCAATCGGCTGGGTTTGTGAGACAGTCGGTGGGGGTGTTTGTTGGCTGGGTTTGTGAGACAGTTGGTGGGGCTGGTGTTTGGTGTTGCTGAAGTAGGTGGTGTATTGGATACCTTTGATTTTGTCGGCTGGGTTTGTGAGACAGTCGGTGGGGCTGGTGTATGGTGTTGCTGAGACAGTCGATGGGGTGGTATACTGTTCGGACTGTTCGGTTGGTTGTGGCCTAATGTTTGATCGGTGGTTTATGTGGTTTGATGGAGAAGGTTGGTTTATGTGATTTGACGGAGAAGGTTAAGGTTAAGGTTAGGGTTAGAGTTAGAGTATGGCTCTGATACCAACTTGAAATAAAATGTGAATGAAAAAGGGATACAAACTAAGTATAGAACCCCCTTATATATAGTCAATGAGAGTTACCATAAGCACAAAAAGGTAAAAAAGGAAAACTTAATAAAATCCTAATAAACTAGACTGCTGTTATATCTCCAACAAAAACTAATTTTTTGGTATCATATTAATAACGGTTATACTATTATCATAAAAAATGATATCGTTTGGGTGGTTGAGGTTTGGAACAATTCTCCACTACAAATTCAAGTGGATCGTTTCAATGTCTCTAGGATTGAGCTTTGGTTGATGGAACATTTACATAATGGTCTTGGGGGAGGGTGGAGTGCGAAAGAGTATCACTCTTTCATTGCCTATATGTTGTGGTTCATATGGAAAAGCAGAAATAATTGGTGTTTTAATGGAAAGCCTGTGGATAATGTGACAGTCATCAGACAGACAGAGATGGTAATTACAGAGTTGCATCCTCTTCGAGCGGATGGGGCTGATACCATGTATAAGCAGGTGGTTTTAGCACCTTGGTCAGCCCCTCCACCTGGATGGGTGAAGGTTAACTGTGATGGTGCTTTTTCTGTAATGATGGGACATTTCTGAAATACTCCAAGATGAAGACACGTGTCCTCGGTGTCACTAAATCCTATTACTGAGATCACGTACCATCGGTTCACAAGTCTCTCTCCCCCGAGGTACTTTGTCACAGGGATCAAGTGGCATCCAGTACGTTTACGAACCGACACGTATCTCTCGGTCTGATATGGGTACGTCAGTCGCTATATACACCTCCCTTTGGCTCTGAGATGAACTTACCCCTCGGGTCCGAGATGTACCTCCGTCCAGGATAGCGTTCTTTGCTCCTACAGAGGCTATTGATGTACAGGTCACTAGCCTAGGCTAGGTTAGGTTAGCTATCATGACCTCGTCTTACACAATTGGTGTCAGAAGACACAGGAAGGCAAGGGCCACAGTCAATGGGGAATGGACGCGTGGCATATTGTGTCACATCAGAGACAGAAAGACCGCATGCCCTTGCTGACACATGACTTGGGAAAACAAGCATTTAATTACACCATCCCCTTGATGAGACTGCATTCAATGCGGTAAGGCTCGGAAGTGAAAAGCAATAAATGTCTCTAAGGTTGGACATTTATTGCATCCTCCCCGAGAGGAGTTCATTGAACAGTCGGCAGCCCGATGACACAACATTGATTGCTCGGGATCCCGAGCAGTTAAAAGAGAAGACATTCCTCATCGGAATCAGTGCGCACATTGCTTGTACCTAATGATCACCTACTGACCACACTGACAGCAATCATGAGTATTTGAGGTATAAATACTCATCGCAAAAGGCAAGGTGGGAGACAACAAAAAACCTTTACGACAATACATACTCAGTGTTTTCTTCTTCCTCTTTCTAAAAAACTAACTTGACCGTCGGAGGGGATACGCCGAAAAACACTCCGGCGCCCTTCTAACTTGTCTTTCTTTGTTCCAGGAATCTTCTTTAACCTTACTGGATCATTCCGTTGATCCACGAGGGTCTCCCATTACCGTTCCAGGTTACCACCGGACCTCGCAGATTGTTCCAAGCAGCAGGGTCGATCATTCGACTGACTCACTCGAGTTCACCAAGGGAGAGATCTGTTCTCGTGTTTATATTGTGCAAGATCTAGCACGCACAATCTGGCGCCGTCTGTGGGAAATGACTAGTTTTCCTAGTTTTTTCTCTATAAAGAATAGTGACCATGGTGAATACTCGACAAAAAGGGAAAGGTCCCCAGCAAAGAAGTCTCGAATTACAAGCTCCATGTCACCATGGAGGGAGGGATCACACTGATGGGAATAAAAATGTCTCTACTCAGTCAAGAGGGGTTACCCCTCAAACCAGTATGGGAATCAGGTCAGAAGGATCAGCCCCCTTGGCTCGTCAGCTGGCGGAGGTGATTGAAGAAAAGTTTGGCGATAGATTACGACAGCTAGAAAAGGACAATGTAAACATCCTAAGTCGGCTCAACAAATTCGCCGCCTTCGGCGAAGGGTCGAGGGACTCATTCCTTTCTCGTGGGCTCCCTGCCCGGGAGGCAAAAACGAAGGATCTAAGGAATCATCTAAACAACAAGGCAGAAAGCTCCAGGGCCCCAAATCAACCAAGAGCCAACGAGCACCCTCCTAACGACCATTCAAGGAAGGCAAGACCTTTAGCCCTGGACGACCTCCGGCGAGGATTGTCTAAACGGAGGAAGGGAGATGAGTCCGAGGAGGATTGTACCCTATCCACACGGCGCCCAGGAAATGGGGGGCCTATTGATGAACTCAAGGACTTCAGAAGACATCCCGTCAGAGAGGAAATGGATCTCAGAGCTCGGTTGGAATCCAGGAGAAAGAGTAAGGCTGTCCAGGATGAGGTCGAAGACGAGTTCATACAAACACCCTTTACCAGGGAGAACGGAGAGATGGAGGTTTCAAGAAAGTTCGTCGTGCCGAGGTTCAAAACTTATAACGGGCGGTCCGATCCCGAAGTCCATCTCAGGCAATACAAGTAGATGATGTCCCTCTATCATTCAGACCAACGGTTCCTCTGCCGAGTGTTTCCTATGAGTTTGGGGGACTCTGCGATAAAGTGGTTCGAGGCGCTTTCCCCCAATAGCATTGGATCGTGGAAGGAATTAACGAGGCAGTTCCTGGCTCGATTCATCACGGGGAGTAAGCGGCCTAAAGACGTTGGATCATTGCTAATGCTCAGACGTAGGGAATCTGAGACCCTTCGCCAGTATGTCATCCGGTACTGGGAAGAGGTTAATGAGATAGAAGGCCTGCTCGAAAGTCATGGCAATGGCGTCTTTCAGGCTCGGCTTGGCAAGGGACACGGACTTGTACCGATCCCTGACCAAGAAGACTCCCTCGGATATGGGCAAGCTGATGGCCCGGATAAACAAATACTCAAGGATCGAGGACGAGATGGGAAGCAACAAAAGGCCGAACCCTCCAATCTAAGAGAAAAGAGAGGGAGCGGGAGGATACTCCTCGAAAAGGACTGCTACCCCCTCTAGGGGGGTCGTCCAAAGGAGTTCACACTATGTTCAAGGAACCCATCTTCAAGTTGCTCCATAAGATCAAGCATGAGCCGTTCTTCAAGTGGCCGCCTAGGATGCAGAGCGATCCCTCCACCCGTGATCAAAAGGTTAGGTGTTCCTATCACCGGAATTTCGGACATCGCACCGAAAGCTGCAGGGTATACAAATCGTTCTTGGAAAGATTGGTCCGAGACGGATACTTGAAAGAATACATAGAGCCCAGGCCAGAAGAGAGACACACCCCTGCCCCGACCGAGGAGCCGGACAACGTCATAGATGTCATCCATGTATGTCCCTAGATCGCCCAACGTCCAAGGAACTCGAGTCCGATCTCAAGAGGGTAGCTTTTACAAGGAAGATAGCCGAGGATGATGGGGGGGCCACCCAGTAAAAGGGCCAGGACTGGTGAGCCCAGCATCACGTTCTCCGACGGGGACTTGACAGGCGTGGTGACTCCTCATAACGACGCCCTTGTCTTAACCCTGAAGATAGGTAAATTCGACGTCAAAAGGTGTTGATAGACTCCGAAAGTTCCTCGGAAGTGATGTACTCTGAGACTTTAAAACGGATGGGTCTTGGCCTCAAGGACCTCACCAAGGTCAGGACACCCCTCATCGGATTCAACGGCTCGTTCGCCCTGCCCATAGGCAAAATCACATTGTCAGTTGTCACGGGTCCCTTCATCATCAACACCGAGTTTGTCGTGATTGATACGGACTCTCCCTACAACGTGATCATGGGACGAACATGGCTGCATGCGTTGGGAGCGGTGCACTCCACTTATCACCAGAAACTAAAATTCGTCACGCCAGAAGGTATCATGGAGATCCAGGGGGACCAAGCGTCCGCAAAAAATTATTTTTATTCAGCTGTTAGAGCCGGGGCGTTCACCCAAGAAAAGGGGCGAGCACCGGAAGAGATCATGGAAAAATAGCAATCACAGTCCGGGCGTCCAGGAATGGATGACCCCCGGATAGACCCAACTGAGCGGTCGGTGGAGGACCTCCAGAAGGTGCCCTTGGTGGAGGGAGAAGAAGAAAGATACCAACCAAAGTTCCTTAATGGTCGACAGGATTAGGAATCAGGAATGATTTCCGGTCAGAGAACCAACTTCTTAGTTGGAACCGCGATGTCCGCAGCCGAACAGGAGGAGATGATTGAGTTCCTAAGGAGAAATGCAGACGTGTTTGCTTGGAACGCAATGGAAATGACGGGAGTAGACCCCGAGATAATCACGCACAAGCTGCATGTTGACCCGGCGCACAAGCCAGTCAAACAGAAGCCACGACGCATGGCCCCGCATCACGCCTGCGCGGTCAACGAAGAAATCGACAAACTCCTGAAGGCCAACGCCATTCGAGAGATACAGTTCCCAGAATGGCTGTCTAACACGGTTTGCGCGAAGAAGAAGAGGGGGAAATGGCGTGTCTGCGTAGACTTCACAGATCTAAACAAGGCATGTCCCAAGGACGACTACCCCTACCAAAGGTGGACCAGCTAGTGGATGCCACTGCCGGATATGAACGCATGGACTTCCTGGATGCCCGAGCAGGATATCACCAGATCCCTCTCCATCCCCCAGATCAGGAAAAAATGGCGTTTATCACTCCGAAGGGAGTTTACTGTTACAAAGTGATGTCGTTTGGACTAAAGAACGCCAGGGCGACATACCAAAGACTGATGAATCGGATGTTCAAAAAGCAGATCGGCAACACCATGGAGGTCTACATTGACGATATGCTGGTGAAGAGCAAACGAAGCTGTGATCATCTGACAGATTTGGCAGATACCTTCTCCACCCTCAGGGAGTACGGGCTGAAGCTGAACGCGGCAAAGTGCGTTTTCGGAGTGGAATCGGGTAAATTTCTCGGATATCTGGTCAGTCAACGAGGAATCGAAGCTAACCCGGATCAGATTCAAGCGATCCTGGACATCCGGAGCCCCGAACTGTCCGAGAAGTCCAAAAGCTCACGGGGATGCTGGCAGCACTTAACCGTTTCGTCTCACGCTCCTCAGACAAATGCAAACCCTTTTTCGGAGCAATCAAGAGTGCTGGGAAGGATATGTGGAGCCAGGGGTGCGAAGACGCCCTGGCTGGAATCAAGAATACCTCAGGACTCTCCCGACCTTATCCGTCCCTATCCAGGGGAAAATGCTCTTCTTGTACTTATCCGTATCTGAATTTGCGGTAAGCGGGGTACTTATTCGTGAGCATGAGCACCGCCAGAAGCCGATTTATTACATAAGCAAGGCGCTCCTGGACGCGGAGACAAGATACCTGCCCCTAGAGAAACTGGCTCTATCCCTGGTCACCACTGCAAGAAAACTGAGGCATTATTTCCAGGCGCACCCAATTACCGTCCTTACCGATCAGCCCTTAAAGGCCATTTTGAGGAAAGCGGAACTCTCCGGAAGGATTTCCAAGTGGGCAGTGGAGCTGGGGAAACACGACATTCATTTCAAACCTCGAACCGCTATAAAGGGTCAGGTATTGGCGGACTTCATAGCTGAGTTTTCAGGGGA